CTCTGCGCCTGCGCTCTTCACACGCCTCCTGCAGGGCACATTTGGTAAAGTTCATGCATGCAGGCTGCCGCCAAGCACAGGGAGTAGCACAGCTAAGGAAAAGGGCAAAAAAAAATGGCGGACGGAGTGGTTTGGCGACCCCCGTGAAATGGTCGTGCGACCCCAAATGGGGTCGCGACCCACAGGTTGAGAACCGCTGATTTAGTTCATTACTTTTAGAATAGAATATAGAATTCTTTATTGGCCAAGTGTGATTGTACACACAAGGAATTTGTCTCCTTGTCTGTAGACACTGCCTGACTTAGCTCACAATTTTAAAAAACAGCAACGTGCAAAATATATAAAATATGCAAAGCAACCCCAATCTGACATTTAGAGTAATAAGCAAAAAACTCAAAGGAACAAAAGAAACAAACCTTTGTTAGTCTGCTTGACTAAGTCTGAGGGCCCCATAACTTCTACAGTCCTGCCGGCTTCTTTGGTGGCAGAGCTAGGCACCTCTTTAACTAGAAGAGGAAAGAAAGGGTTAGAAAGCAAAATGTATGCAAGGAAAGAGGAACAAAAGCTTGAAATGCACCTGGAAAGTATGGCAACTTCCCAAAGAGCCTCACAATTTATTCAAATCCCCTACTCTCCTCCTTCAGACAGACAAGAATTTGTTTACTATCTTAAAACGTTTTCAACTGATCAAACCTATCAAGTATTTAAAAATTGCAAAATCTCAATATTTTTCTTACTAGGGTAAAACAGGAAGGAAGAAAAAACAGAGAGAAGTTTACAAGTCAGCAATCTTTCCAGTCAGCAAGTTTCAAAAATCTAAACAAAGTCCTCAACATTCTCAGAAACACTGAAAATCATATGACATATTAATTGAGGAGTTTTGTGCAGCACATCTGGGATTCTCTGGCCAGCTAATACCTATAGGTTGCTTTGTTTTAGGTCCATCCTTAGTTCCTACTTTGTTGATTGGCAATCAACAAGACCTGCTTTACTCCCAGTTTAAGTACTTACCTTCAACAGCAGCTACTGGGAGAGATACTGGGACTTTAGGTGAAGGTGGGGTGGGGTAAGCACTCGATTCCATGGTAGTCCTTGACTCGGAAGGTGATGCAGGAGCAATAGGGAGAGCTGGTCCCACAGGGGGATCTTGGGAAGAGACTGGAACAGTTGAGGCAGACTTCGGTGAACGAGGAGCATAGAGACGGCCCACTATACAGTACAGTAACAGCAAAGATACATTAGATTAGGGCTAATAGATAAAAAATAATAATCAAGGCCCTCACACACACAAAAAAAAGACATAAGATTTGCTGCTTATTCTTTCTTCTACCTGTAGGAGATGCAGTAGAGACTTCCATGGGTCGGCTGGTTGGGGAAGACATATTCTTAGCCCCTCGATTGGGTCGTTGAGACTTTGGAGACATTCTAGATGGACCTAAAACAAGGCAGTCATAAGTGGCGATGAATCAAACCAGACACACATAAACAAAACGTTCCTTCGACATCTATGGCTCTCCCCTACTAGCAAACAATGAAAATTCTATCATGCCAATGAGATTAGCAGCCACCTAGTTGCAATTGGCATTTCCAAATTCAGACTAATCAAGACATTTAAAATAACTGAATGGTGACTAAGTCAACGCACCCATCGGAACCCTTGTCCATGGTGACCTGTCTACAAGAGGCAAACTAATGAATGTGGATAACTGACTGGCCCTACGGCCTGTACAAATATGGGGGATGAATGGGAAGAAGCAGGAAATGCTGCACCCTATCCAAAGAGAGGCAAGTAAAGAGAAAGGCCACAAGGAATCATGAGATGCAGCAATCCTGGTTCCAGGTTGTAACATAGCAAGACGGAGCTGGGGCAACTGAAGGTGAACATGAAATCAGTGGTAGGGTAGAGGCCTGCTTCAGACACAGCTAAACTGAGCAAAGTTGTCACTGGTATTGTTACTGCTTCTTCTGATTTTCAGCAAGCAATTTCACTGAACGCACTTTGTGAAGACCAACAATGCAATGTCACTATTGCAAGAGCCAGAAATTAGCCTTGGATCATTTTTTTCTGAGGCATTTCATAGGCTATTGAGGCTTCAAATCTAACTTCTCCCCATTTGCATTACATCTATTCCTTTCTTCTTCACTCCTTCAATTAAGAATCCATTTTTGATCCCATACACTATAAACTGTGTCACTTCAACTTTAGTTATGCGTTTTCTTTACCATTCAAAATGCTATTCCCTTCCTTTTATTGTTATTGTTCTGCAGAGCACGTGCTAACCTTCGTCCTTCCATTTCCCCCCTGGTGATGGTCCGATACACTTCGTGATTTCAATCTGTCCATACCATTCATCCCACCCTTCCCTTCTACTCATCAACCTATCTTGGTAGCCTGAGCCAGATTAATATTGCAATGAAGACAGATCATCAATCATTTCCTTATTCAAGGAAGTAACCGCTTCCCTAAACCTAATTTGTACTGGTGATGCAAGTAGTCTGTCAATGCTGCAAATACTGTATATTCTTGCTTTGACAATATGCAGAACTGTCTGGTATTTTTAGGGTTAATGCAGAGCAGAAGTGGGGGGAAAAGCCCGGGAAAGAAAGAGTAAGGAAACCTTTGACCTTCACACTAATTGGATAACGTGATATATGACAGCTAATTTAGGGAGGGAACATGCTGATAATTTAACTGCTCAGAGGAAGAGAATCTCAGATCTTAGCATCAACCTTCCGTTATGCCTGTGCCGACATTTTGTAACAATAAATTACTTTTAGGAAAATCAATGCCTGGAAGTTCTTTGAAGTGTTTCATTAGCCGGAACCATAACATAGTCCTTGCTTAATGACCATTCATTCAGCAACCATTCAAAGTTACAACAGCACTGAATGAGTGGTAGTTATGACCAGCCCTTGAGGCTATGGGCATTGAAGTGCCTCTGCAGTCATGTGATCAAACTTTGGGTGCTTGGCAGCGCAACTGCATTTACACTGCGCCATGCACTTCAACTTCACCCACCGGTCTTACCCCATACCTCTGCCCTTTTGGCTGCCCTAAAAATCCCCCCCCCACCTCCAATGTCCTCAGCTGACCTTTGCCACCATCTTCCCCCTGCTGCTACTGCTGAGGTGCTAAAGGGCACCTCAGGTAAGTTTCTTATCTCCCCACAGGATCGATACCATTAGCCAATGGTTTCTGAAGAACCCCTTCAACCCAGCACTTCCCCAATTGACTTTTTATTGCTGTCATCCATTCGTATGATTTTCCAGTGTTGTCCCTCAAGTTGCCCGTGTCAGTTTTGGCCGTCGCATGAATTTTTTTTTGCTGTCATCCTCTACAGGCACGCTCTTCAACTTTCTCAATCTCATTTCAAAATGCATTTCCCTTACAACAGTGTTCCTTAAAAGTGTGGTCCTAAAACCCCTGGGGGTCCCCCAACCTGATTCTTGTCAGGTTTCCTTGTGTTGAAAAATACAATATTAAAATCCCATCAAACAATAATTATGACTAATCATAGCTGTAGCAAATGGGTCAATTTTAATTTTTAATATGATAAATATGACATGCACAAAGGAAAGCTCTGAGATTTTTTTAAAACGTGAAAGTGTCCTTGAGAGAAAAAAGTTATAAAAACACTGCTTTAGAGGAAAAAGTAAAGCAGAACAAACTTCTTGACTGTGACTTTTCATCGTATCCTTTTCCACTTAAAATTACATCATAACGGAGACAGGAAACACGGGGGGGGGGGGGGGAGAGAGTCATGTGAACTTTCAGTCAGAAGGGCCAACCTTTACCAAGGCTTTTCTGCCTGTTAAAGTGACCGTTTCAATCCATTCCAGTATTTCCCTTTTAAGCCCGAGATCCTCTGCCTCACCTCCATTGATACCTCGTTGCTCTGGAACAGAGCCAGCGTTGCTTTCTGAATGATGTGAACTCCCACGGGGTGGCAAGGAGCTCATGCCTGGCCTCCCTCCTCTAGAGCTATTGCAGCGTATGCCTCCTCTGGAGCTTTCTCTGACACGTTGGGGAAGTGGGATATATTTGCCCTCTCTGCAAAAAGAAATAGCTGGGTACTTTCTAAGAACAATAAAGAAAGAAACCATCATAACTTTCCTCATCCAAGAAGCTGAATGCAAAATGCAAGGCAACATCTGAAGCAAAAAGACTGGCAATCAACAGGGGAACCAGCTTCTAAGTTACAGTGAGACCTTAATGCTATTTCCTCCCCAATATAGGATAAACTAGCCACAATTAGTGTTCATTTTATACTAGAGAGGCATATGGCTATCCAAAAGTTATTTTATTACAGTTTTGAATCACCCTAAAAATGTCACCTGAGCTATGCAGAGTAGCTAATACACAAATCATAAAATAACTGATATCGTTGCTATGAGAACAGATTTAAATACATATTTTTATTCATTTCACCAATGCTGCAAACTTACCTGGAAGCCAAACTGGGGCTGTCTCTTCCAGACACTTGTCTTTGCACTGAACTGTGCTTCTCTTCTTCTGTGCGCCCATCGTCATTTTCCATCGCAATTCGCAGTCTATACTGTGGGCTTGACTCAATTTCTCGTGCTAGCTGTGTAGCTCTGGCCTCTCGTTGCCGAAATGCCTCTGTGTTATCTTTTTCAAGAGGGACTCTACCATGAAAAAGTGGCCCATTGGAAAAGGGGGGGTAAGGAAATGCAGCAAAGAAATTCTACTGATTTATCCAAAACAACAAAATAAAAAACTTGTTTTATTGTAGATGCACCAACACCTCTTCATTTGTAACATGGTACAACAGACCCCAACAGTTCAAAGTTTTTGATTGAATTTCCTAGACTTTATAAATTTCAGATCCAGAACTATTTCCAATAAAGTTCTGGATGCTTATTACTTATTGCATAAATCCACACATTGCATTTTGAGTAAAATTGGATTTAGTTGGTGACATACTGGCCAAAATGTGCCCAAACTGACCAGTAGAGTTCTTACCATTAACAGAGAAAACAGATGGAGCAACAGATTTGCTCCTTCTTGTAATAAAAAAGTGTTATGCGAAAGCTTTAAATGATGAAAGCCGTTAACAGGTACATGAGATCATTTGTTAACCATGAAATGTGAAGATTCTGATTTGGAATATAAGAGGAATAAACTGTAAAGAAAATAAACTAACTGAAGGAAGAAAATTAGGTATGCTGTATTTGTGAAACTTAAAAAGGGGGGAATCATGTAACTGATCTGATTTTGTGAGGTGTTGATGGATATGTGCATGAAGTAAAGATGTAGATTTAATTATGAACAAAAGCACTAATATGTCAAACAGTATGAATTGGTGCTATACTGACATAAAACCAAAGTTCATGAATTTTGGAAAGAGTATTTAAACATTTAAATGGGAATGACAACATAGTCAAAAGTGAAACTGAAATGGTCAGCTAGGGTTGGTTGGAGATATGAATGTACATGTACTTTGATCGGACGGTGCCATTTTGTAGTCTGAGACTCTAAAGGAAAAAATTGAAGGACCACTGCCTGTTACACATAAATGGCAAAATATTACAGCCAGGAGATAAAACTACTCACTTTAGGAGTATATTCCTAAAGAAGGGGACATGGATAGGAAAACATTAAAATTTAGAAATGCTGATAAAAAGATTGCTAATATATAGTCTACTACATCTGCTGAGAAGAGTAAATGTTTGTTGAAAGATCTTTGAACGTAGTAAAGCAAAAAAAAAGGGTCAAGAATGGGCAGACTTAATACAAAAATCAGAAACAAATATGAAAGTAGTACACTGAGGTGGCTTAGCTATATAGAAAGAATGAATATTTAATAAAAAATAAATATATAAAGCAAGAGGGAATGAGTGCAGGGGAAGACTGAGAAAGTAATGCCCTGGATTTGTAGTCCTCAAAAATCAAGAGGGGAGAAATTTAAAAAACAAAGGGAATATATAAACTGATGTTCAGATGCAAAGAAAGCAAGAGTGGCTTGCAAGCATAGAAAGGTTTGAAGAGCGAACAGTGATTATTTATAGAGTTACATTTTCTTTTATTTCCTGCTTTAATGTTTTTGTCCATTACTCCTTGTTTTTTATGTTTTACATAACACTGAGTACAAAAAGAAATAACAATTGAGTATACACACATACACATATATACAGAATATGTGTGTGTGCACATATTCACATTCCAACTCCCCCCCATCTTTAATTGGATCATAACATTTGTCTCATTTAACTTGTTTTTATATATGTATATTTATCTTTTATGATTATAAGCCACCCAGAGTTACCTTGCGTTAAGATAGGCAGCTAATAAATTTTATAAATAAACAAGCAAACAAGCAAGGAAAAATCAGGCTTCTGCTACTTCTGTATACTGTTGAATTTAGGAACAGAACAAAAACTAGTAATGTAGTGAAATATGCTGTATATATTAACTATATAAAGAACTGAATTGATTAGCGGTCCAAAGTGACCATCTTGCATGAGCTCTAATATTCACTGCATTATTTATTAGATTCATATCTCCTGTATTTTGTGCACTATTTTGTGCAACTCAAGAAGGCGTACATAACGCTCTCCTTATATTTTTCCCATAACAACAAGTCCTGTAAAGTGAATTGGGCGAGAGTGTATTTCTGTCCCAAAGTCATCCAACTGGCTTCTAAGAGAGGACTACAACAGTCTCTCAGTTTCTAGTCCAGCACCTAAACTAAATTGAATCCTGGAATCCATCAAGTGCAGATAATACAAGGGTAGCATTATTATAATATTCCAATGGACATGTCTCATCATAGAACATTCACTATTTCTGCTATAGCCACCAACAGCCTGTAATAAACAGGTGGAACTGAGGATAGAGAAAGGATGAAACTATTCACAAATACTGACAAATTGAGATGATTATCTCTGAATTGTCTTGACAATCAGTCTACTCTTCTTTATCCATTGATTTCCACCACCTAATCAAAGCCTTACAAGTCCTGGTATGTTAACCAACTCTCATTTATTAAGTGAAAAAGAAAGAAAAACTATCTAGACTCTACTTTAATAGCTTACCAAATTACATCAGTGTCATCAACTGCTCTCTCCCCTGAATCTTCACATAAATATATATACATATATATGGCTAAATCATTAACTTACGTATATGATGAGAGACTGCTATCATATGTTGTTTTCACACCATAATTTTCCTCGTTGAATTTGAACATCTCATTTGGGTCCCAGCCATTAGACTGAAATAACAGATAAATGCTTTAGTACCTTTGCTGCAACAAAGTTTAGTGAAGCAGCTCTAAGTAAATCTATTTTGAGGACTCAAGCCATATCGGTTACTTACCATATCTGATTCTAAGTCATAATCATCACTGTTGCTATCTCCCCCTTCCCAGCGTTGTAGTACTTTCTCTTTGTGCTCTCCGTTCACCTTAGAATTCATGGCAATGGCAGAATCTGTGAACTTATCTAAGACACACAACAGAAAGAAAGGTCAGGATAGAAAGGATTCCAGTTCTCCTTCAGACGTCCTCCCATCACACCTCAATTCTGTTATTTTAAGGGTGTATTACCTTTGGTGGCGTAGTTAAAATCAACATTGCGGAAGTGCACTAACATGACATCAGTAGGCTTGAAAACCATAGTGTCTACAATATCCTCCCTCCTCGGCCCTACTGGCTGATCAGGCACCTTCTTGTGCACAGCATCCACAGCCAACTCAAACTGTAAAAAAAAATTTTTTTTAAATTAATACAGGCTGCCTATTCCTACTATAGAAAAACTACATAGAAAAACTACATGCCATATCACAATCCGTTAATCACTAAGCACTATCTATTTCCAGATATTCACTCTTGTCATCTCATAACAGCAGGCTGCTTAAGCAAGCTTTGTGAAGTTTGGGGAGAAAGGATGCTTCCTGTATGCAAAGTTTCAATATAGAATAAAGCTAAATACTTAAGTACAACTAAGGTATAAACTTCATTGAACCTGTTAGCTAACATTCTAAGAAAACTAATCAGCAAAGAAAGTATTCACCTTAGAACTCAGGGTCTTAAAAATTCCTTCAAATGTGCTTCCACTTTTCACTTTCACATCACATGTTGATCCCTGGGAAGAGAACCAAAGGGAAGGAATACTTTAAAAAAGGATACAGGAATACTTCAAATTGTGACTCAAAGCCTCCCTGCCCCCCCCCCCATACACTTATAATCAATTTATTTGGAAGAGCTGTTAAAATAAAGCAAAGTAAACTAAAGAAATTCAAGAGAAAATCCTGACCCATTTGCACAATGCTTAGCCCAAACTATTCTTAATGCACAAACTAGAAGACCCGGAAGGGGAAATTTAGCCTTTGCAGGCATCCCACCTTTCTTTGGTTGAGAACCTTGCAATTTTTGTATTGTCTACCATTTTAAAATCAACCCAAAACAACATAGCTGGGACTAAAATTCTTAACGTGAGGATCTGTGTTCACAGAATAATGTAAAACAAATTACAAACGGATCAGTACATCATGTGAGCAATGCCTATATAAACACAAATGTTTCTCTTTCTGCAGGACAACATGAAATCAAAATATTGAAAGAAATTCCATCATGTACCTTCCACCCTATAAACATGCACCTGTACATCTACCTTTCTACATTCTTAATTTATCACCAGGAGACTCACCACAACTGCTGTTAGAAAGTGCAGCATTCGGGAATTGTTATAAACACCCTCAAAAGCCTGGGAGAAATGGAAAAATAAGTGTCACCAAGACATCTGTAAGCATCCATTGCCCAATGTTACAACATTCCCAATAATTAGGTAGGCAACTGAAAGATTCCAAAACTGAAGCATCCAAATATTTGTCACAAATCAAAATGTGGTTATGATACAGATTGATTTGAAAAGTACACTTTTCTTTTTCAAAACAAAAATTGTGCCTATCAGTGATTTAACTCCACGCTTAACAAAGTTGCAAATTTAGAAAAAAAACCAAATTATAAGCAGACTTTGCTGCACCTCAACAAGTCAAATGATATTAAGCTGAAAATCTACAGGTAATTTGGCATTACAAATCTGAACTAAATTTATTACATGAAATTACTCCAGATATTATTTATACTTTGCTATTGTTATAGGAATTGCAAATAAAAGAAATATACAAATTAACATAAAGACACAGAAATGGTTTTAACTATAGTCATAGCCAGTGTTTTTGTAAAAAAAAAAAAAAAAAAAGGTGCGGAACTCACACATGTTATACAAACCGCCTTGCCTACCCTACAAGGTTCCATCCAAAAAAGGTGTCGGAACTCCGTTCTGAGCGTTCTATGACAAAAAAAGCCCTGGTCATAGCAGATACATAAGATTCTAGGCTAGGAATTCTTTTACCACATGTCATAACTCAAAAAATTCTTAGATTAGGGCAGGGGTGTCAAACTGCCGGCCCGTGGGCCGGTTTCATCATACTGGAGCCGCGCCCACCCCATTGCCGGCAATGGCGAAAAAGCTCCAATACGTTGCGCGACATCACGTGACGTCGCGAGTTTGACATGTCTGGCTTAGGGGTACATTTATAGCCATAAGAACTGAAACCTACTAGCAGATATATTTATTGGCAAAGACTGGTAGTAGAAACCTCAAGCCTCTAGCAATTACACAAATCATACAGATCAGATATGTCAATCCCAAATGGCTTATACTACAACTTACAGGAGATTGGGGAGGTCCTTTGCCTGTACTCTGGCCCCTGAAAATAAATCAGGCACAAATGTAATTAATAATGCAGAATGTAAACTCTTTAAACCAATAGGCTACATTTGGTGCATACATTCATCATTCCTTCATCAATCTAATTCACAGGAGCTCTCACCACTAACAAGAACCCCATACTTTACTACCAAAATAATTAAACAGACTTCCTAATTCAGCTAAGACATAATTTCCTTTCTACAGAGACAACTTGATGAGAAATCAGTGCATGTATTATACATGAAAACTCATCCTCTACAAACATATAAAAGTAGATGGTGGACATAAAGTGTACTGGCACATGCACGCAAGAATTTTCTCAAGTGTATGAAAAGAAGCTTAGAATGGATTTGCTTTGCCTCAAATCCATGATTTCTGAGCTTTCTACATTACTTTATCTAAATTCAGAATAACATTTTGCACAAATCATCAAAATTCCTTAGCCAATTTAAAATAAGTGGGAGATAACTAGGTGATAATTCAATCAGAATAGCAAAAGGTCTTTATGAACTCCTTCACTGATATGCTAGAATGATCACAAAAAATGCCCAACCCCTGGGAGAGAGGGAGAGAGAGAAAGAGAGAAAGAAAGATCCATGATCTTGTTCAACTTTATAAAACTGATGCATGGCTCAGCAAATATTATTTCATCCTGCTCTTTCTTAAACTAGAAATTTATGCTAGGCTACTGAAATGAAAAAAACAAACAAACCACCTTTAAGCAGCACTGCTGGGCAAAACTCATTTCTGGAAGGCATCACTGCTCATACTGTATATAAGTTCTTTTAATTGAGCAGACCAAGACAGCCCAGACGCTGCAATGTCTGAAAGAAGGTCTGTTGGATAATGGTTTTCTGATGTCTTTTAGTTATCTTGGATTGTAAAGCAGCGTGCACGAGAAGTCAACGGAATTTACTTCCAAGAAAACGTAGTTCCCATGCTCAATTCTGCATCCGAAATTAGATCCTTCCTATAAACAGTCAAATTCTATACTCCACCACAAGGAGGGCAACTCAGCCCAGGAGGGATCGAACCTTCTTTTTCGAAAGGCAGAAGACCCACATTACATCCCCTTCCAAATATCACACGCCAGAGAGATGGATGACTGGAGAAGAGTCGGGGGGGGAGGGGGCAAGTCTTAGCGGCATCCGCCTTCCGGTCTCAGCAGGGCGTACGCTGAGAAGAGCGGCACCCAATCAGCTGCAAAGTAGCCCGACTCCGCTTATCGGGTCTACACATGCTCTTCCCCCCCCCTCCACCCGGCCGAGTCCTCCCGTCAACCCTTTTGGGGCGGGAACGCGACAGCCCCTTCCCTTTCGGTCTTTTCCGCCAGGATCCCTTCCTTTCCCTCGCTCACACAAACCAGCGCGTTTCGGACAAGCCTTACCTGGTGCCGCTTCCTCCAAGGGGAGCCACCATTGTGGCTCTGGGTCCACCCGCGGCCCCGGGGCTGAGGTTCCCGTTGGGGCTGGCCGGCGGTGGGTTGGCTTTGCGGGAGGTGGAGGAGACGGCGGCGGCTGCAGCGGCCTGAGGCGGCGGCGGCGTAGTCGGAGGAGGGGGGCCCGAGGAAGGCGCAGCAGGTTGAGGGGACGGCGGCGGCAGCGGTTGTTTCAACATGGCGCTGGCGGCGGCGGCAGAGAGAAAAAGAGCCGGACGTCCGTTCCTCCTCAGCACGCGTTCAAGGCCGTTGAGGAAAGGGCGGGAAAAAAAAGCGGAGCGGGGGTGGTGGAGGAAGGCGACCGAGACACTCGCCCCGTGCGCGCCTCCCGGAGTTTGCTTTTACACTGCCTCTAAAGGGGCGAGTTTTAAAAAACCCCGAAAAGATGGGGGGGGGATAAAAAGCGATTAGTCAGCCAAGAGCTCGGCTGTTTCAGACTTTAAGCCTGCGATACAGGCAACGCCGTGCGCCTCTGCCGGCCCGGAAGAGGAAACGGGCGGGCACGCCGACCGTCGCGGAAATGGGGAAGGGTTAAATGCTGCGAAACAGTGGGGGGGAGGGAGTCAGGCGGGCGCGTTTCTCCCCCCCACACCCGCGTTCTGTTGGCTTCGCCTGGCGCGCGTCAGCAAAACAAACGCCTATAGAACGTGGGCCTCGATTCCCACCTGCTGCCGCGGGATGAGTCCTCCGGGAGGGCGCGCGCCGTTTGGCCGCTTTGCTTTCCCCTCCGTAAAACCGGGCGCCTCGGGAAGAGGAGAGGAGGGAAAAGTCTCGAGCCCCGGGAGGCAACGTGAGGGGTATCGCAAGCTCGCGGGGTGAGAGGAGGAGAGGAAAAGAAGATGGAAGAGAGCGAGGCCGCAACAGAGAGAGAGAGAGAAGGGGGAAAAGAAGGAGGGGGCGGTTGTGATGTTGGCGCTCAGGGCCGCGACGCGAGCGGTCTCAAACCCCTTCCTGCCGAGGGAGTGGACGGCTCTGTCCCCTATCAGGCTCGCGCTTGCTTGTGAAGTAAGAAGAGGGGGGGGAAGGGCGACACAGATCCCGCTGGCCCGCGCGAACGAGAAGAAGTCAATCCGGTTGCTGCACAATGAGTTCCTGGGGAGGGCGGGGCCTCCCTCTGCGCCTGCGCTCTTCGCGCGCCCTCCTGCAGGGCACGTTCGGTAAGGTTCCTGCCGGCCGCCGCGCGCGCACGCTCTTCGCGTTAACCAATCGAGAAACGAAAGCGAGCCCTTCAGTTCCTGCCGGAGCTTTGGGGAAGAGGGGGGCGTTCCTCCGGTAATGGCTGAGACCGGTGCACATGCGTAAGAGGAAACAAAGGCTGGCGCCTGTCGTTTCCCTCAGCTTGGTCTGCGCATGGGCGAAACAAGGTGTAGGAAACGTGTCGACCATGTGTGGAGCGCGTACAAATGGTAGGTTGAGTGGAAATGCGCATGTGCGGGAGACGAGAATCGCCAACTGAGACCAAAATGCCAGGATGTTAGTTACCCGGTTGACCCCGGATGACCTCATTCTCAGTATGATAGCTTTGGCCTCTGTGACCTCAAGGGCAGTGTGTCTTAAGGGATGGCTGAGGCTTGATAGAAATATTAAAAACCATAAAGAAAATATGTATCTCTGCATTAGACACACATCCCTAAGAACTGACGCTGACTTGAACGCACATATTACACACATGCATAATAGTGATATAATGTTGGCCATGTTAGTATTTAAGAAAATTTTATTATTTTAAACTCAAGAGTCAACAAAGGCTTCAGTCCCATAGATATGTACAAGAGAGAACCCCACTGATAAAATGTGGACATGAAAACACACTAGATGCATTTTTATTTTAATTGTCTCTGAAATATGTTCCATTGTCCTTCCTTTCTTAAGGTACCATTATACAAAAATAATGAAACTGTTGATTCTGACATTCTGAAAGAGGAATTACAACAAGCAAAATACAGTCACAGGACTATCTATCACAAAAGTTCTGCTATTGTCAAGTCTATTATTCTGTAATTGTGATAGGAAAGACAAAGAGCCACTAGCATAGACTGGATTGATGATAGGAACGGGCAGACCTAGGTTTTAGCTTTGCCTCAGTCATTCTCAGCCCAAACTATTTCACAGAATTGTTGTGGAGAAATATGGGAGAGGATACTCTTATGTACACTGCTATAATCTTCTGAAGGGAAACCAAGTTACAAATTAGTAAGTCTTCCTGCATTCTTAGAGAAAGGCTCTCATTCCCTCATGCTCCTCACAGTTGCTGTGTCATGAACATAAAGTGCATTATATATACCAACCTGCTGACCTAGACAATACCCCACTTATTCTTTCCTGGGAAAGAGTCTTTTCAAAGCAGCCAACAGGAGATACAAGAATGGCAGCAAACATAAACACTTCTAGTGTCCCTAGAGGCATGAGAGAAATGGGCATTGCACTTTACTGACAATATGAGATTGGAAAACAGGGTGAGGAATTCACTCTGTACCTGCAGAAGAGCAACCCATGAAAAACAAAGGTGAAATAGAATAAGGAACAACAGGAGATACATAGCACCTGTAGCTGGATTTGCAAAGTCTTTGAAGAAAACAGAAGAGACTAAATGTGGCGATCGCTGGGGATCCCACTTGTCCCTTTTCTCCGGGATGAGGTGATGTACGTTGGATGAGACCAACGGACCTCGCTTTAGGTTAAGAAACACACGGACAACATGTTTCTTCAGGTGAGATGGCAGGCGAGAGCTCCGAAAAGCCTCTCTGCTTCTCTTTTTATTGGTCTATAAACGTCATTAGGGGGTGTACA